CAAGGGTACTAATTGGATTGGCTACGGTGACTAGAGAAACAGAAAAATAGGGAGTATCATACCTAGATCTATTTACGAACTTTACACAAGATATGTCGAATAATCATAGGATGTGATTCATCATACGAAAAAATAGTACTTTTTAACAAAACTAATCTCTTCGCGATTCGATTGATTCATATATTATTTATGGACGATGGTTAATAATGTTTATATTGATTTGCAAAAAAAGTATTTTTAAAATAAAAATTCCATCCCAACAATGTATAACACAATCATCACAACTAGTTTTATTTATTTATACAATTTATTACTAATGACTAATTTGACAAACATTTTTGAAGTGTAATAGATGTTATGATCTCCAGATTAAATGAATAAGTTGTGTACTCCTGAAGTTCGGACATACAACTTGAAAAATCAGAACTTGATACATTGGATCTTGTTTATATGTCATATATCTCTCAGCAGTCAATCAATAATCTACTGATTAGATCAACATCAAAAGTTTTTATATGACGTAAGTGTCTTTTTTAACACTACCAGACACTTTTTTTTTGTTTCTAAGTTGTGGACACACTTTCACTAAGAATCTTTATTTGTATCAAAAGACATTTTAATGCGTGACGATTATCCTCAAGAGCTTGCGTTAAACAATTTTACCGTTTTTTTTCGCTTGTTTTGAAAAATAAACTATTTTGCGATTTTTTCTGTAAAATTCGTTTTTTCCCAAGACGCAGGATTTTGTGTTCGTTGTATGTACGGCGCGTAATCAATACCTTAAACTGACCGGGACCTTGTGCTTATTTTTTACCCTTATTCTTTTATTCCGTGCACCAAGCACTGGACTCATTTGTGCCGTGTACATTGTCTCGTGACGTCGAGTAGGAGACAAGTTGCTGGTGAAGTGCGTTTGAACTACTGGTATATGTATTACGTGACAAAGAAAGGGAGAAAAAAAAACAATGAGAATTTGAAGGGACTCTGATGTGTGTTCATGTAATTTGCTGTTGTGAGTAAAGAAAGGTCTTACACATAGGTAGGTATACATTTCTGAGCTACGTGTCCGCTCGTGTAGTCCGGACCTCTTAAAATGTTTGCTCTGTCGTTTTGACATACTCAAGTGGGAGGGGAAACAATTGCTCTCATGTACCCCGGTATTTTAAATTGGGATCGGAGATCTTTACTTTCAAGTTCTCATTATGAGATTTTCCTTTCAATTGTAACGTGATCTGCGTTTCAAATTACGATGAAAAGTGGCAGATATGTAGGAATTTTTTTTAGCCTTTAGTTTAATAAACAAGGTATTAACTGCCACAAAAAAAAAAAAAAAAAAAATTATAACTAGCTATTTCGAACATTTTTCATTTTTGCGTACAATAGAATGGGGCAGGATGAAGAACAAAAAAATCTAATTTTCTTTAAACTACTTACTAATTTACATACCACGTGATGAGGCAAGAGTGAAAGAGTAAAAAAGCACAAACCTGCTTGACATTCGAAAGCACATCAAACAACTTACATTATCCGAAAGTGTATGTATAATAATGAAGCATTTGCCATTTTATATCTATTTTACATTTTTATAATATGTATATCGTTTTATTTATACGTACAATTGTTGTTATCGTTGTGTTTCTTTTTTCTAATCCGTGATTTGAGTCAAACGTTATTTTTGCTGTAAAATGGCTGCGGTTAATTATGTGAAGTAAAGAGAGCAAATATATTGGGTTAATAGTTGCGGATTTAAGAGCATAAATTTAGAAACTGAAGTGGAGTGGATTAAATTTGCAAAGCTAATGATGGATACTCTCGTCGTATCGCTGCGTGGCTGGACATTTTAAATGATTGTTCTTGACTCCGCAGCAACAAGGGCAAGTCATTTGCATAATTTTCGGCTACAGCTACCGCGCAATTTGTCGTTGAAGTGACGATTAATAGAGCCTCTTTTCTCTTTTCCCTAAAGTATATGGTTATTTCTTTAGCGTAAAAATGGATCAAAGTTTTGATCGACTTTAAAAAGTATACTTAGCCAGCACTACTGCAGTTTTTTTTTTTTTTTTTTTCCTAGCCTTTTTCCTCGTGCATAATAGGTGACATACTAAGTATTTGTACAGTTTGAACACAACGTGATGTTTGCATGACGGCCGCATATAGTATATTTAGATGATGTATGGGTAAATATTGTATTTCGATTAATGGCTTTATAGTTAACAGCATAACTAATGAAATGTAAATAACAGACCCTCCGCTGTTTTGGGAATTAAAATAAATTAACAAACAAATAATTTACAAGTTTGCATTTCACCAATGATTGGCAATTATCTGATGGGCTTACGTGAATTTTTCTCTTGGTTTATCTTTTGCTGATTTTGTTTGCCTCACATTGATTTCTCAAACAACACTTCAATGATGCAAGTGATTGATTACCATCGAAATAGTAAGCTCTCGTAGAAAAAAAAATAATAATAATTTCCGATTTTTTTTGTGCCTTTGGTAGGAAAAGCAGGAGTCGACGTAAAAGCACCATTATTTTTACTACTGTTTTTTTATGATGTACAAGTTTACAATACCCGAAGTATTAAAGCGATATACTGTGGGTTTCCAACGATATACCAACTACTTGATTCATAGATGCGGATGTATCAAATTCAAGAATGACTGAATGAATATCCTTTTCACTTCCTGTTCACCCTGTTTGCCCTTTCTGATTGGGTAGTTTTATATATAGGTATATTTCCTCTAACTGTACCTCGAATTTCATTACTTTAATTGTATGAAAAATGGAAATCCAAACGCCCAATGGATGGAGGCACTTGGATCCATTTTTTACTTGTTAAAGAGAAAAGCCCTTCATGAATTGGCAAAGAGAATCGATGGTACCTGACCGTGTTTGGCTTCAAACTGCAATTATTTTCCGGGGGAAAAAAACCAATATACTTTAATAGTCTAAGAGTGGAAAGAAATGAACAAACGCCAGAAAGTATCATCAATCGCAGTGATGAAAAATGAGACTGTATCCCAAGTATCGCACACGTGAACGAGCGCTGAAGTAAATAAAACCAAAAAAATCTAGAAATGAAATTGATACCAGGGCCAGGGGGTACATAATAAAACTCCCATCAGCCCAAGTCGCCGTGAAACACACATTTTTTGTCAAAGGGGGAGTAAGAGATGTAGAGTAAATCGAGTATGAAACGCGTGAAATGAGGAAGCGCGAAAAAAAATAGAAGCGAGTGGCGCGCCAAGTCTCGAGAACACAGCTAGAAAAACTTTATCGTTCGGTAACCGAGACACTCCCATCCCCCTTGGAAGAAGCGAGGAAAAGTAAACATTCCTTAAGAAAACGAGGGGAAAAAAGCGACGAAAAGGAGGAAAAGGGTGGAATCCTTGCACGCGTGACTAGATCGGTTCTCACGGTAGGAAGGTGTACTGGCATCTGCAAAAAAAAAAAAAAATTAGACAAATAGTCATCAAAAGGAGAAGCGATGGGTTACATTCGATATTCCAATGGATCGGCTCCTTTGGAGCATAAACAGGGCCACATCCGCGCGTTTGGTTGAATGGGACCAAAGATAGGCTATTGGCAGCGATGGCATATTCTCCAACCTTTTTTTTCTTTGGAACAAAACCCCCAAAAAATAAACAAAAACCTACATTTTTTTGGGTACTTTGTATCTTATAATCTTGCTACGAACAAATCACTTGAAAGGTATTTTTAAAAGTCATATTAATAATTTTTCAGATCTACATATGTACGTGAACTCAATCCTTGTGACAGTTTTTGTTTTATAGTTGAAAAAAATATCTGGACTAAAAGATCGGAGAGAAAACTCGTGGAAAAATAAGCAATTATACATAGGTTGTGCCCACATGTTAAGTTAATCGATTTTAATAGCTTTTCCTTCGCCTGAGGCGCAGTAAGCCGAGTGGTCGATATTCAGGCAAGCCAACTGGTCAATTTTGGGAAAATAGAGTATCGGGACTAAACGAACGGGAAAAAAAAAAGAAAAATCTTGGGCACGTGCCCCAACCCTCCCCTTAACACCCCACGCCCGTTTTTTCCGCTTGACTTGCCCCTACGATACCAGGCCGCCAGAGGGATTTGCCTCTTTGCTGTGGTTGCGCTTCGTTTCATCGGCTATAACCTTACGTTCTCCCGCTCGAGTGGCGCGAGAAACGGAAAACACTTTTGCGGGGATGGACCCTCGCGATTTCCATACTCGCGTTCTACAATAAAATTCAATACTCAAGTTTTGTAGATCCCATTACTTTTGCCACATACCTGTGACCTTTTGGATCTTATACTTTTTTTATGAAACAGTACTTTTGGTACTTAATAATTGATGTCGATCCGAAAAAAAAAATTTGTTTATACATCTCAAATCACACAATTGACATAATCTTGAAACATTTACTAAAGAAAAATCAATAAATGAACAAGGTACAACGAGTATTGTTTGATGATTCCTATTCCAAGTGCTCAACACCATATAAATGGCCCCCTCCAGTTTTGGCACCTCAATTACCGCTCAATAGGACAATTAAAGTTATACTATCCCCATTTCACTATACACAAGTACGTTTATGCCTACGAGCTTGATCCAACCCACGACAAACACATAAAGATGTAGATGGATATAGTAAAAGGAGATGGGGAAGCAATTCACGCCGGCGCCCACATACGAGCCATTAACTCCTCCTCCGCGGTGGCATCCAAACGAAGCAATAGCCGCTGGAGCCACTGCACGTACAGAGAAGATATCATTCGCGTCACATGTGGGACAGACGCGGTTAATAATACAAAGGCGCACGTGCTCTCTGCCTCACTGCGGCCGCATATTACACCTGTAATGGCCTGCATCTGGTAAAAGGAGGAGAAAAAAGCAGCAGGAGATGGGAATAAAAGTGCTCGAGGTGCAAAGGATGTGACATGAAAAAAAAAAATAATAAAAAAAAATAAAAAAAAATTAGAGAATGGAATAAGCGTAGGGAATCACCTGTCGTTAGCGCGGCGAGTACGAGTGAGGCCAGTAGTACGAGTCGCGCTTTGGTCGGACGGAGGTGCCCACACCTGCAGCCCATCAGGCACGTACCGCCGTCCTCCTCCTCCATCGTCCCACTCGTCACTCTTACACTATACTTTTCCACTCCCGCACTTCCTCATGGCCTCCCCAATTATCAACAATACAATTACTTTTTTCTCCGCGCGTAAGTCGCTTAAACTTGTAAAATCACTCGCTCGTTGTCCTTTACTTTCATGTTGATTTTTTTGTTGATCAACCGATGACAAGTACTTTCCAACTCTTGTCACATATTCCACAGACGACACAATCACCTTAGCCCATGTATTGTTGGTCACACGGTCGCGCGCCGAACAGCAGCAGAACCGGTACTTGGAGACGAGCGCGGCAGCCGGACTAGCGCTCGAGTGTTCGGTACGGGCTTGGCCGCGGATCTAAGCGCGCCAGCTTTGCCGACACGCCACTCCCATCCACGCATGCGCTCCCACCTTCAGCAGCTGCTCTTTCGTATTATTCTCTTGTTCTTTCCTTCTTATACTTATACTCTTATACATATACTTAGCTCGGCATGCCCCATGTGTTGTATCTCTAATGTATACTTACAATTGGAAACAATTATTATTGCCCGTGTATTTTGGTGTTACTGGTACATCTGCTTATTGCATGTTGTACGGCAATACGTGCTTACAAACACATCAGCTAAGGTAAATTGCATTATGAAATTTGCTCCTCCGAAAAGAGCCGCTTTTGGGAAGTCATCTTTTATTTTGTTGCCTAAACGAAGCTGCACGTGATGCAGAGTAAGACAACGGGGGTGAAACTTGCGTTGCTTTTATTTATATACTTGGACTCGTGAATCTTCAAATGATAAAAAGTGGCCACAAGGTAATTTAGACGCAGATTTTTCAGAGTTGATATTTAAACTGTGACCGAAGGTAGACAGGAAAAGGCAACTTTTTGCCTTTTTTTTTTTTTTTTCTTGAGTGAAACAGAATATGCCCATTGCCACACGAGTTGGATTAAAAATGAAAATGATCTCAATTTTCATAAGGGCAATTTCTCACACAGGCACTGACACGCAGTGTCGGGCTGGTGTGTACGGCACCATAAAAATTACCAGAATAAATATCACGATGGGACAGCGACGGCTAATGTTTTCATTAGGACCCTCATTTTTTCTCACAAGCAAACTCATAAATCAGATAAAAGGATCTCTTGCGCTCATCAGTCCTTGACACAGACTCTCCTGCGAGTGCGTCAGTTTTGTGCTTTCCCGAATCATCTCGCTTCTCTTTCTAACAGCAAAGATGCGTCCGACAGATCCATATGCATTAATAGACTAGGGCCTATTTCCCCATCGTTTTTCCGCCTTCAATTTTGCTGCTCCATCCACCCCAACTCTCTTCTCTCGGATTGTGGCGTACGAGACCTTCCTCTCTTACTGTATATCGACCGTACACCAATTAATTCAAGCGACATATACACCGGAACACGTACTAGCTTATCACGACAGACGGGAAAGTACGACTTTCATATGCACCCTCTCTTCATCATTATTTACTCCTTTTGCTTGTTGTGTCCTCTCTGTGCGGTACTTTTGGTTCTGTGTCACATGCATGTGTGCTCGTTCGTCTCTGGGATAAAAATTTAATACAGAAAAACTGGGTATGTACTATGGGAGATTCTGATAGTAAAATCGAGGGGTTCGTTGTGTTGATCAGTACCTCGACTATATAATTTTACAAATTTGAAATTAAACACAAACTTTTTCAAGGGATTTATTGTAACAATGATTGTGCACTTGTAATTTTGTGATGGTATTGGCACCATAGTGAGGGAAACAAAAACTTTACAGTCCTTATAAAGAGCTGCGCGATTGAATGAAGATTGAATTTAAAGCGAGTCTTTGAAGGCTAATTTAAATCCTGGAGCATGACGATGAGGTACTCTTTTGACCCTTCGGTTATTTAATTTGATAACTTTATGCAAATTATAAAATCGACGATCAAAAAAGTTAATTTTGTCAGTTTATTGATTTATTTTAATATAATGCACTTTATTCACGATGTCATGATAACACAATCACGTGGAATTTATCCAGATATTATCATTATTCGGTTTAAATATTTTCCATTACATCATCGCTTATCGATACGAAATTATGGTCTTCGATTAAATAATGTTAAACGAAGCGATTAAATGGCCAGCTCGACAAAATTCCATACAAACAATTTCGAGCATCGGCACTACGTATAAATTACCTGATTGTAACAACTAATCTTGACATTGTAATCGAGAAACAAAAAAATGAATTACCATAGCACTTTGGAAAACTATACATTATCCTTACAACAACAAAAAAAAGAGTTGAATATGGTATCTAATAACTTAAGAAAAGCCAACGCATAGCGACCCATGAGCTGAAAAAAACAAGTTCCTACGATATTTAGGTTTGGAAAGCCAATACAAGTCCATAATATTCCCTTTGTTCGTCGCAACTTGGGATGCATCATCCCCCTCGCACATCATCACACTGTACATTTATCTGCGCGTTATGTGTAAGTATTATTACCCCAGCTCGCAGTTTATCTTTCTTTTTCCCTGTCAACGCGTGTCGCCTCTTCCGGCTTCCTTCGTCTTATCATTTTTTTTCACACTCCATGAACGTTTGAGCTATTTTTTTTTCTTCACCCCCTCCCCATAATTCACCCTTCTTTCGCTTACTTTGTGTGCATTTGCGTACACGCGCACAGATTCGGATAGGTGACGGAGGTACGCGCACGCAGGGGCGCAAGACAAAGCATATACATCTCCCTTCGCGCTCGTTTTCCCGACTTGATGGTGCGCGCAAACTGAAAAGTCCCGTACAACGGCGCGAGTCCGCTAATGGACTGCCTCGCCGGGGGATCGTATTTCTCCCCCACCCCCCCTTTCTTACTCTTTACTTCGCTCTAGTTCCGTCTCTTTTTACTTATCTTCCTTTTTCTTTTTTTTTTTGCAACCTTATGACGTGCGCATGTGTTGCGTGATTTGAACGGCCACTGTTCAATGAATATTATCTTACCATGCGTTTTTCACGCGTATACATGTACCCATATCCGATGGTTCGTGGACTCTTGTCTTTGTTTGGCCTACTTATGCTGTGATTTTTTCATCGTTATGTTGAGGAAGATAATCAATCGAGGGAGGATTTATACAATTACAGTAGAGGTGGATTATTAATGGAATTTCTAGCAAAAAACAAGGCAATGTAGTTTTAGAGAGCGAAGTTTCTTGAGAGAGTTAAGCTGAGAAATGTCAAAGAAACTCAATCGGAACTGATCCTACCTCCGAAATCGAGAAAAAAAAGGGTTGCTCCCTTTGAAGTGAAAGTTCCTTAAAACTTCACAAGTACAAGAAATAACATTGTTGGCTACGTTTTTATTACTTTCCTTGATTAAAAAAAAAAAAAAAATAAAAAAAAAGCTATATGATGTATCTACAAAAATATTTTATTTTTTATTTTTCAGGTTAAGCTCTCTCTTGGATCTTTCACCGGTTGAGTGAATGTGCACACTCGAAAGTCCAAGTGAATCGACCTACATATACATCCAGACACGTACGTATTTACTCTTGAAATATGTAATGTACAGAAAAATTGAAATATAATACGAAAGTTACTCAACTGTTGGGCTAAGTCATTGGACGTGGACAGAAGTTGGAGACCGTGTATAAAATTGGCTATTGAAAATTTTAGAGCACAATAGATTTTTACAACTAGATAGTGGTGCAGTTGTAGGAAATTCTTCCCCTCTACTCTGGCTAACTATGTTTTTGGCACAAACAAACCTGTTGCTCGATGTACCAGTCTACAATGTAGATATAGAAAAGAGAGAGAGCGAGTACGTGATTCGGGTCAGTTTCAACCCTGCGAAACTGCCTGTAGTGTTGTCCATCGATTAGCGGAGAGTCGAACAACTTGATCTCATTAAAGCGTTTGGCACATATTTATTTTATCAATTATTTATTTTTTTTTTTTTGTCTTTGAAATATAATTGCAACCAAGTGCTCTAAAAATAGCGTATTTAGTTTACTTATGTCCACGTAGTTTGCCAAACTTTGCGAGTTTATCAAATTAAGAGACGCTTCGAGCATAACATCTGTAACACTTCACATGCACTCAAAGTGCAACAATACCTGCCAATCGTATGAATACAGCAACAAGTACTGCAAAAAAAATAAAAATTCGAGTTTACACAAAGAATCTGTCGATTTTCACAGCTTCAAGATTACAGTTGGAGTGACCTTCGAATACACGCAGTGTCACTACAGACTAATCCGGAAAGCGTTTTTTCTTGTCCATCTGTGCCAAAGGAGTTTTGTGTGTACACACCATGCGCATTAAGTATGGAATAACCCCGTACAAAAGAAACACGCAGAGAAAGTACCAGCGCTTCAATCGGTACAATTTGCTTTGACTGGCTCCACACAAGGGTCGGACCCTGAATAATTTTCGTCATGATCGTCATTACGGGCCAAAGCGAGCTACGTATAGGAGGGATATAGGATAGCAGGGAAGATAGATATACATCGAGCGCAGTTATTGAATTAAGCCAGTTAATTATCAAACGATAGACTGTGCATACCACATGGGGCCTGGCTTACCTCCTCCAGCTTATAAACTCATTACCTAACCGACTACGCCTATGTATACATATAGTATATCTGCACGCGTGATGATGGTAATGGACGTTGCGGAGTTTGCACCCTTTCCCATTATATTGGCGGAATATACGTGTTGAGCAATGGCACGGATCCGATCGAAACGCGCCGGCTACGTGGATCTATTAAGCGCTTGAAAATAATTATTTCTGCTGCCATCGACGTTATCTCTTTAAAGAAAATCATCCGAGAAATCCTTTTCTAAATGTTTTTTACCATTAAATTTATTGCGTAAGAACTTTCCTTCGCGTGAATTTCGTTCCAGTTTAATGATTTTCATCATGTATTGATTTTGATGGACCATTAAAAATTATACATCATTAAGCAAGAACCCAACTAATCTTCGCGAACGGATCCACCAAATTTTACATATTTAAATTCTAAATTTAATGAATCGACGACCAAAGAGTATTGTCTTGAATTATTGGCCAATACGTCCCTGATCGCCACTTGAAGTTAGTTCCATTAAAATCTTCGCAAATCGTCATCGCGAGTGCCAATGAGTCATCGAAGCAGC